AGCGGGGGGGGGGTTGGACACAACAAGGCGGACGAACCAAGGACGGGCGCGCGACGTTCGCTTCGATGTTTATTGACTGACGTGCTCCGGTTCCGACGGAGCTTGACGAGAGTTGGCTGCAGCGGGGGCGGCGGCGGCCGGAGCCCCTCTTGGAGCCGAGTCTCGCCTTCTTCCTCCCACCGGCCCGTCGGAAGCTGGCCAGGATCAGGATGCAGCTATGTGAGTGGGCTTTGCGGAGGAAGGGATTCACACGAGCAAGCGGGAGAGTCTTGGGTCTGAGAGGAAGCGTCTGTCCGGATGGAGCCTGCGGGAAAGAGAAGGGGAGTGAGGGAGGGGAGGGGAGGACACGTGCCCGTCTGTCGCAGAGGGAACGGGGTTGGCGTGGTTTTGATTTCTAGCGAGGCGCAAAAGTAGCATCGCCTCTGAGTAAACAATGCGGCGGGGAGGGAGGGAGGGACGGCCGATGCCCCCTTCTGAAGACTCTGTAGTAAAAACTTGAGTCCAAGGATTGCAGCACACAGAGAGTGGTTTTATTTTCGGGGCGGGGGGGAGCTTTTACTGGGGTTGGAAGCAACCTTCGCTGGAAAGCTGCCTGCCTCCATCAGCTCTGGTAGCCTTTAACATATCCAAGGGGCCTTTTCAAACGATAGCTCTAAACAGGTGGAGCGTGCATGCCGGTCTTATTCATAGTCAGAAAACAGACAAAATGAATGTAAAAGTGAAAATATGAAATGAGTGTAAATTAGGCCTTTGCTCCAGTGCCCCTGCCGGGGCAAGGTCTCAAGGATGAGTGAAACTCGCCCTTGTCAGTGAAAGCAAGAATCCTTTCCTTGCAGGCAAAGGGAGAAGGAGCTGCAGAAAATGTTTTACTGAGAGCCCTTTCATTTTTTTTTAACCAACAGAGGCAAATTGCTGTGCAGAAGGTTTGCCAGCAGGCCAAACTATTAAGACATGGCACAAGGGAATAACTACGGACACAGCAGCAACGGGGTGGCTGACGAATCCCCAAATATGTTGGTGTACAGAAAGGTAGGACATTTGAGGGGGATTTACTTGGAAGTAACTTTACTCTTGATCTCCTCCCACGATAGTGGAAGGGCTGCCTTATATTGCTACAGTGTAGCATTGTTGTGTAACAATCACTTGGTATCAGTGCTGCAACTACACTTCTTAAACCTTTCCTGTCTAGTTTATTTCTCTGTATTATACCTCAGAAAAAGAATGAGGGTGGGGATAGAGGGGTGCAGATACTCATGACCCCGCTTGCTCTTTGTCCATTCTTTTGATAGGAAATGGTATCAGCCTCTTGTAGACATCTATAAGCAACATGGATAGGTCTAAATGTTCAGGATCATTTGTTCTTCCTTCCATAATGGATTTGTTTTGCTAGAACTAGAGTGATTTTCAGTTTTATTTACTCTTTGTAATCTTGCTGGTCTCTGGTAGTTAACATTTTTAAGATTAACACTATTGCTGCAAATCTTGAAATTAATTTATATTCTGAAATGGTGGAGAAAAGGCATGTGATCTTAAAAAAACTTACGTGATTAAATCCAGGTGTTTTTCCTCTATACCTCCTCTTCTTAAAGTCTTTTAAAAAGGACATAAAAAACAAGCCACTTAATTTGGGAGCAAAGGACATAAACTTCTGAATACTGCTTTAGCACCATGCTGACACTACTGACAGTATTTATAGCTAACTCTGTGCAAGGCATTTGTGGAAACACAGACAGACACAATATTATCCGCCATAGCCCACTTTTGACTATGTAAAGCATATTCAGTAAACTGAATGCATGCAAGAGCAGAGTCGGATAAGCAGGAAAGATCTCTAAACAATATTTGTGTTCTATAACTCAGATTTTTAATATTTTTAATCACCGTATTTTTGCATACACTTGCTTCTTTTTCACTGCTTTTAGTCTCACTTGTTCCAGATATGCCTAAACTAATTATGTAATGAGTACTTAAAATTTCTTATTCTTGATGATTGTCTAACTTTTGCCACACCAAGACTCCTTACTCAGATGTCTTTTGCTCTAGCAAGAATTCCCAGCTTCCACACAATGAGACCTCAGTCATGCTCTCTGTGTTTACTGAGTGATTGATTTGGTTTTGTTTGCTCCTTGTTGTTCTGTGCAGGAAACTGAAGCTTAATGCTTTTCTGAACAATTCTGTGCAGGAAAGATGTCATTCTAAACAGGAATTGTATTTGTTTGTTTGTTTATTACTTCCACCTCTAAAATGCCCTATTAGTGTTATCACTCTCTGGGCAGTTCACAATATACAATAAAATCATACATTTAAAACACCATATAACAAATATAATAAAATATAATAAACTTTGTCCCTAGCTAAAACAATTAATAGTAATAAATAATAATAGAAATAAACATATTAAACCCATTTGAGCATCTTAGGTTAATATACCAGTAGAAGGCAGCTTTATATGTAATTCTGTCTTTATTAGCTTCTTTAAAACAAACCTCTGTAGAAAACCTATTCTACCTAGTGTTGACTTTTTCTTACCTTCGGTAATTCAATTCTTAACATCAAGGACTGCAAGGAGCATGTGGAATAGGGAGCTATTTTGTGGGAGAGATGTTCTGGCAGCTATTGAGGTCCTAAATCAGTAAAGGTGTTATAGGTCATGACCAGCACCTTAAGCTGAGTGTGGAAATGAAAAGGGAGCCAATGAAAGTGTGCCAAGAGAGAATATGTGTTCATAGCTCCTGATCAGTTTGACCTGATGTGTTTCGGACCTACTGGAGTTTCCATAATGATGTCAAGGATAGCCCTGTGTAGATAGAGGTACAATAGTGTATCTTAGAGACTACCAGTGCATGAACCACTGTTGCTAGGAATTTCTTACCCAGGTAGGGGCACAACTGGGCAGTCAATTGCTGTTGATTAAAGGCACTCTTGGGCACAGCAGATATTTGCACCTCTTTAGAAAGAACTGAGTCCAAGAGTACCATCAAGCTGTGAACCTGATCCTCCAGAGGGAGTGTGACTCCATTGAGGCCAGGTAAATACTCCTCTAAATATCCCTCTGATGATCCTCCCAACAGCAGAGGAAGTTTATTGGCTCAAGGCATGGCATCGCCTGCAGATGAAGAGAAGGGCAGATAATTATCCTACATAGCTTGGCATTTCTTTCAGGAAAAAAAAAGATTGGCCATTAAAATTCTGAAAAATCCACCAAGTCTCATGCAGACAAATTTGCCGTCAGAAGACAAGGACTTTTTTTCCCTTGGTTTTTCCCTGAGAATGAGAGGTAGCAAGATCCATATCCCTAACCAAGGATCTGGCTACACTAGCAGCAGGGAGTGAGCCTGGGAATGGTTGAGGCACTTGGGAATTGTTGGGTATGATTGAAAGGAGCTATATAAGCCTCCCTGTTGAAATGGAAATGGCTCCTGCCAATATTGTGAAGTGGCTACATAAGCTAGCTAAGTCAGGTTATTGGCAAATTAATCATACCCCTTGCTTGGCAGAAGAAAGGAGAAGTGAAAAAAAAAGTTTTTTGACTGTATGGACTGTTGTTGATATACTGCATTTTTTTGTTTTTGTTTTTGTTTTTACCTTTTCTTTGCCTTGCCTCGAAGGGCAGGTCAAGAAACTGTTTGCAGCTCTGGATTCTACTGTGGGTGGTGTCTTGACTAGCCCTGTAAAATGAAGCAAAGAAAATATTTTACAACTGATATAGTGCATCAGCAATAACTTACATACAGTCAGAATAGTTTTTTTTCACTTCCCCTGTCCCCTGCAGAGCAGGGGAAGTGATTAATTTGCCTGAAGTGGCTCACTTATTAAGCTGCGTCATGATATAGGAGATTGAAAGGGGAAGACTTTTTTGGATCAGTTCCAGCAATCACATGTGCTGGAACTGATCCAAACCAAAGCAATCCTCACTACTGAAAAGTAGAAGCCTCTTGACAGGAGCCAGAACACTCTGAAACATTCTGGGGGCAGGCAGGTGCGTTATAGCAAATATGTTGTCAGATCTCCAGCCCATCCGTGCAGTGTTCCAAACAGCAGGCTAAATAGCCTGTGCAGGCAGCCTCTAGCATTTACTAGGAAGCAAGATTATAGAGCTCATTTTACAGATTTCTGTGTAATATTATCAATTATTAACATTTAGGCCTGGTGTTTTGGTATCTTTTTAGCTCTCATTAGAATTGCCATTTCATTGCAGTAGAGAGAAGATTATTTAATTCTCCTTAAGAATATACCATGCCCTGTTTTGACATATGTGCTTGTGAAAGGCTAATGGTTATGTTTGTTTTGAAAGTATAGTATTTTGTAACACGGCACAGTGATTATATTTTTCATAACAAGGTGCAAAGATTATAATCACAGGAGAAAGTGTATTACTCTGTAAACAGTATGTTGTTATAAATGTATCAATCAGTGCATTTACAATACTGGCACCAAATGTATACATATGAAATATATCCATTTTGTGTTATGTGGATTTGTTTCTGTTTGTATAAAGGTAAAGGTAAAGGTTCCCCTTGACAATTTTTGTCCAGTCGTGTTCGACTCTAGGGGGTGGTGCTCATCCCCGTTTCCAAGCCATAGAGCCAGCGTTTGTCCGAAGACAATCTTCCGTGGTCACATGGCCAGTGCGACTTAGACACAGAACGCTGTTACCTTCCCACCGAGGTGGTCCCTATTGATCTATTTGCATTTGCATGCTTTCGAACCGCTAGGTTGGCGGGAGCTGGGACAAGCAACGGGAGCTCACTCCGTTGCGTGGATTCAATCTTACGACTGCTTGGTCTTCTGACCCTGCAGCATAGGCTTCTGTGGTTTAGCCCGCAGCGCCACCACGTCCCTTATACTGTTTGTATACTTTCTTACAATAGGCACATAGAAGCACATCTGATTTGCTGCATATAGTGAAGTATCAAATCGAGGAGAAAACAACAGTGCCGCACTATTTCAGTGTACCATAGAAAGGCCTTTTATTTCTGTTTTTTACTTGCGTATCATTCAGACTTATGATTCCACATACTTTCTAAAGTGATCAAACATTTTACAAGTTTTGTTTATCATTTCATTCTGCATAATAGGTAGAATGGCAGCTGGAGTTCAAATTCTTCCACTGTCTGAGTATTATTGGAAGATTACAAAATGTTTGCATTGTAATTGTTTAATCACAGTTGCTTGTTGCATCAAGGAATTTCTTTTTTAAGTACAATGAAAAGGCTTTTGTGTTTCAAAATGTACAGGAGAGAGAGAGAGAGAGAGAGAGAGAGATTGGTTATGTTTTGTGAAGGACATTGGGCAGACTAATTCTTAGTGTGTAATTTCCTATATTTATAACATATCCAGCCAGGAATGAAGATTTATATGAGCTGTCTGATGTGATTGTGCAAAAATCTGACCTTCCCATCTCTCCCAGTCCAACACTCTATGAGGGCAATGTTGCCCCGTCCATTGTGTATTCTAGGCAGCAGAGGGCTGTGTAGTTTCCCTTCTAGCAGTAGTGGTAAATTTTGGGGACACTCATCATACCAGTCGCCATAGCTACACCCCCAAGAAAAGTTGAAAAACTATAGGCAGCTGTGTCAATACCAATAAACCAGTTTTAGTAATGTTCATCTCTACAAGCATTTTTTTTAAAAAAAATTAAGCTAAGATGTCTTAACTGCCCATTCAAGGCAAGGTTATCCTCAAATATGTCGCATTAGAAGAGGAATAGCTTGCAACAAAACATTATTGCCAAGAAAAGCTTGCCATGTTCTCATTTCTCACTAATGTGAGGATTCCAGTGAAGTTCAAAAGGAAAGGAGAAGATCAGTGTGGTGGTGACATCATTATTTCTGCTAATCAAAGTGTCCTGATGTTTCAACCCTGTGAATCCTGGCTCCGCTCCAGCACTCTAATATATATGTTATTTACTGCCTATTTAAGATCTCGAAGGGATATGCTTAGCAAAAATGTTTGTGTTTCTTTCATTTTGAGTTCTTTTGCAAGTGCCTCCTTTATTTTTCATTTGTTTTCATGTTTTTGTGTACCAG